GAGGTATGATGAAATACGATCGGATGGATCGTGGGAACTTTGTGTGCATGGATTGTTGTTGTATATTGATGCATGCATATTCATGATGCATGTTTATATGTGCTTAGGGGGGCATGGTAGGGATAGATCGTTGCTCAGATGCAGTGTATGTGATCTATCCTGAGTTTGATTATATGTGCTCAGGGGGAGCATGGTAGGGATAGATCGTTGCTCGGATGGAGTGTATGCGATCTATCATGAGATTGGTTGACAAACCATTGAGTCGGTACCGCATATCATGGGTTGAGTTGCATGTGTTGCATTGCCATATTGTGTACTATGTGTGATGTTGGACAATATTTCCTAATTGATGTGTGTTGAATGATATTTGTAGGTTTACTGCCTTTTATTCATGTACATTATTTCCGTTATATTTTGATCGTGATTTCTCACCCCTTTGCTGTTGTTGTGGTTTGTGCTTCTTCGAAAGTACAGATAATCCAGGTGCGTAGCTAGCTTGGATTATGGCGAGTTGAGTCGTAAGGATGCTTTGATACGTAACACCGGGACTTTTGGAAGTTTATTGTTTATCTGATGATTTTGTGTGCCCCTGTGGCGTATCATGTTTGATGAATCTTTTGGGTGAATATATCTTGTATATTTTGGGCGTTGGCCGTACATGGTGTATATGACGTTTATGTATATGATGTGAATATATGTACATGTGTCTATATGACAAACTTCCGCTGTTTAATTATTGAAAATCGTTTAATGAAAATGTTTGGAGGAGTTTCTTCTGTGAGATCCCGTTGTGTTTATGATGACTCTGATATTCGTTTATTTTATTTGCATTTAATTTTTGTATTTAGGGAGCGGGGTGTTACAAATTTCGCGCGAACTCTTGCGTGACTAAATGCCACACAAGTCCACACTACTCTACACACTAATCCTATGTGTGTACTCAAGCCTGGGTATTGGGCTTATCTCTCATGGAACCACCCACCCAACAGCATAGCAACAACAACATAATATGATAACAATAAAAATGCAGATGCAATAATATACAACAAATAATGTACATAAAAGCAAATAATTGCACAAAAGTAAACACCCCAAAGATATAACACAGGCAAGCGCTAGGATTGACTCGCATAGGGAACTAGAGTCCCCAGCAGAGTCGCCAGCTGTCGCAACTGCGAAAAGGGCCGGCGAAAACAAACAGAAGAGTCGCCATTGAACGTTATTTATCCCAAAGAGAGGGAAAGGAAACGGTCGAAGAAAAGCTAAAAGAACGAGAAAAGACAAGCAACCAAATCTGGGGTTCGGGAGTCAGTTACGCAAGGGGAAGATATGAGCACCCCTCACGTCTGTTGTACTGAAGGAGATCCACGCTTGTTGTCTATCAAAAGGGATGAGTTATCTAAAAGCTACTGTTAAATGGGGGATGGAAAAAAAAAAAAAGGAGACTCGGTAGGACCTCGTCACCCTATGCCTACGTATTCCCTCGTGTAATGGGAAAGTCAGAGTCAACGTAGACTTATCTAATAAGAGAAACTTGTCGAGTCTACTCATTGTGCTACCACCATCATTGAACCAGGTGAATCGGCCTCCCACGCAAGGTAAATCCACCAATTGCATCTCTTCAATGAAACAAATGAACTCCTTCGAATCACTGAGTCTACAATAAGAAGCTTTACCAAGCCTTTCTTCTTCAGCTGAAATTGAATTATAATCCCCCCTATGCACCATTCCTCCATGTCTCTCTTATTTTTTAATTTAATCAACTCTGTCCACAAACTCTTTTATCATTTTTGTTGCACGATGCGTAGATATTAATAAAATTGTATGTAATGCCCTTCCACTCCACATTAATCCCCACAAATCTTACACCCCTGAAACTAAAATTGAGATTGAACAAATTTTTCTCAAAAGAATCACCATTCCACAAGAGGCCCCTACCGAGTCCAACGACGTCTACTAAACGTTCTTATTACCCCCACAAACCCCACGCACTCAAACAATCAAACTCCATAATTTTTGTTTCCTGCAGACAACAAACATCAAATTTTCTAGAATGAATAATAAAATTTATCCTTTTCCTCTTCGATGAACGCTCTCCTCCTTTTATGTTAAGAGAAACTATATTCATGGCAACCTCTTGATTTTCTCCTCCAACTTGGATTTCCCTTCTTTGTTTATTCTTTATATTCCCTCAATTGATAACACTGAATCTTCAGGTTTTAAAGTGCTCAAAATCCCCAACTTAGAAATCATATCCCACACCACCCTACTAACCTCATTATCGAAATTCTTTAAAAAAATGTTTGTTACAGCACGCCACATCGGAATCTGTCAGAGATTCACAACAAAGCGCAACACCACCAGAAAAATTGTTCTCCTCTTCAAGCTGGTCTTCCTTCACAGTCGCTTAATCACTCGTGGCTGAATTTTTCTTTGAGTAAAGACAAGCGAAATAGGAAAGGTGAACAATAGCTGGACTGCCCAAGTCACGGACCTCCCTCAATTTCTTCTTTTTGGGCTTTGTCCTCCTAGCCTCCACACAAGCCTTAGCAAAATATAATGGGCCTTTAGGAACACAGACCATCTCCTTAGGCCCAACCAAACTCGTTGGTAAGACTAAGTTATCGTGGGTCCCTTTCAACGTGACAAAGTCGTTGTCCCCTAGTCTATCCTCAAACTTCTCCAAAAAGTTCACCATCTCGAGACAAGTGTCCTCATTAACTTCTGTAGGTAAAACCATATCCTTCCCATTTACGTCGTTCTTCACTTGCATGTGAATAGCAAAATCAGAAACAATCTAATTAGTCAGTAAAAAGGAAAACAAGTAATTAGCATTATAATATATAAAACTTATCACTTATAATTTATAAGTTCATGTATTTAAAAAAATGTTGTTTGGTATATATTATTTTTATTTACTTACGATTTTTAATAAACTAATTAAAATAGCTTATAATTTAGCATCTTTTTCTTTAAATTTTATTTATTTTGTTTTAAATTAAAAAAATTAAATATTAACTAAAAATATCTTTTTTTATTATATTTAATTTTATAAATTAATTTAACTGTTAATATTAAAAAATAATATAAATTTAATTAACTAATTCATTTATTTCCAATCATCAAATATATATCAATTATAAGTTCACCCATTATAAACTAATTCATAAAATGTAAAGTTATTTTTTATCAAACATAAACTTAAAATGGTTTTTTTGTAAGGGCTAATACCCTATTTATATATGCCAATAATATTCAGAGGCTCTAAAATACTACAAAGACCAATATTGAACCATAATTTTGTTTTTCGTTACAATATTCAACCATAATTAATTAGTCATGTCAAAATACAATTTTTTTTTCAAGTTAATAAAAAAAAAAAAAGACTATTAGCCACAACATGCTTGCTCTCTACGGCATTATGCTAAAAGCACTTTCCTTTTTAAATATTTTTTTCTCTTACCACAATGATGAAGATAATTATAATAATGATTAAAAAACAAATATTTCCAACTTTATGGGCAAATCCAACAGTTACTTAAATTATATTTGATGAATAAGACTTTAGTCAATAAATAATATTAAATAATTAAGCTACTTTTTAAACCGACAAAAACAGCAACTTGATGACACCATACTTATTAATAATATAATCAATAAAATAAAAGAGCGTTTATTTCACAGTTAGAACAATTAATTAAAGAAGATATTAAAGCAATGAAGATTAATTAATTTTAATTTTTGCAAATAAGTATTGCACATGTGATGACCACACAAGCCGGTGGTATGGTTGTGGATTAAATGAAATATTTTAATAAAAATAATTAATTAGTATTAAGTGAATATATCATCAACTAATGCACCTAATAATTAGCTGTCTATAATTTTATCATGAATAAAAATAAGTTAGTTGTCTATAATAAAAGTTTAGCTTAAAATGGATGGATTAATTATCAAGAAAAAGATGTTTTGTAATATCAAGATATAACCTATAGTATTTTAACATGGTTGGCACAATTGTCCTAATAGAAAATTTTCCAAATTTATTCCTACATGATACTATTATTTATACGTATACGTGACTAATATGGCTTAATATAACATTATTTTATTTATGTTTCTAAGTGTCAAATTTTAAAATATGCAAAAATTATGAGAAGAGTAATCTGCAGTGGTTTTGGATTTTAACCATAAAAGATAAAGTGTATTTTTTAAATTAAAAAATATATATAAAAAGAAAACATTGTTGTTTGGACGTAATGATGGAACTTTTCAAAGAAATGATGAGATAGAAGAATTGTACATAAAGTTGAAAGAGTAAAGAACGGATAGAATTGAATTTTATACATTTTTTCAGACACAAGTTTTCCATCACTAGTGAGAGGGGTATGTTGCATTTCACTTTTCATGGACACGGATAGCAATAAACTTTAGAATTTAAAATTTATTTTTAATTCAATTGATTTTTTTTATGAATAATCTATAAAGTCTATTTTAACTCTCACTCGTTTCTGAGTGAGTTGTCATTCTAAGTTTTTTTAGTTTGTTTTTATATAATAATTTCTTAGGATTGATTGATTATAACATATAATATGAGTTAAGAGACCCACCATTTCCTGTAAGAGACATGAATGCTAACATCTTAGAAAAGACATGTTATACTGATTTATGAAATCCATTTTCTCACCTTCCCTCTTCTTTTCAACTCAAACACTTTATACAATACCAAATCCCTATCACACATATCAACCTTAACCTTACATATATCTTTTTTCGAAGTAATGGTGTTATATATAAAAAATATTAAATTAAAAAAATAAAGAATAAAGAAAATTGAAAGAACCTTATTGACTATGACTTCTCTCTTTTTCTCTCTCTCTCTCACACTGACTCTCCTATATTAACTCAACTCATTTTCTTAGTTGCCACTTCATTTTCCTTCCTTCAATTCTCTCTATCAGTAAATCATTGCTTCATTAAAGAAACTTGAAAATTCACAAATGGGAAGACACTCTTGCTGCTACAAGCAGAAGCTTAGGAAGGGACTATGGTCACCAGAAGAAGATGAAAAATTACTAAGGCATATAACAAAATATGGCCATGGATGCTGGAGTTCTGTGCCTAAACAAGCAGGTAAATATAATTATTCAATAAAATAAAAATTATCATATAGTTATAATATTAATGAAGTGAAAATTCTTAATTTAATTTAATTTAATTTTCTCAACGTTGATTTATTTATTTATTTATTTATTTGCAGGTTTGCAAAGATGCGGTAAGAGTTGCAGACTTAGATGGATTAATTACTTAAGACCTGATTTAAAAAGAGGAACATTTTCTCAAGATGAAGAGAATCTCATTGTTGAACTTCATGCAGTATTAGGCAATAGGTAAATTTCAGTTCATGAATTCAGTTCCGGTTTTACATTTGATAGTTCGATTTGATTCGATTCGATTCCATTCTGAGTATCAGTATGTTTCTGGTGTGTCAGATGGTCTCAAATTGCGGCGCAATTGCCGGGGAGGACTGACAACGAAATAAAGAATTTATGGAACTCTTGTTTGAAGAAGAAACTGCGGCAAAAAGGTATAGATCCTGTAACTCATAAACCATTGAGTGAGGTTGAGAATAATGGAGAGGAAAATTCCAAGAGTCAAGAGAAAACGCGGCCGGAGTTATTGTTATCATCTCCGAATGAATTGAACCTTTTGAAATCGGAGAGTTCTAAATCAGATGCGGCTTCCAGCTATGAGCAGAGAACATCATCTTCAATTTCGCCCAAAGATTATGCGCTAGAAATGGAAGGTTCTTGCAACAAAGAGTTTTTCATTGACAGGTTCATGACTTCGAACTCTCACCACTCGGATTTGATGGGAAATTTTCCGATTCAGATGAGTTATACGAACAACGAAAATGATAGTAACCATTGGTTTAACCAAACTGGAAAAACTTTTGATGTGAAATATTCTGATCAGTTTCATTTCAATTCTGCTACAGCGGCAACAACTATGTTTCTTCCTAATTCTTTTTGCTGCAATAATTCGCTCGATATTTCTCCGTCTGTGAATGTTTCTACCGAGATGATGAAAAGTGATAGCAATACATTAAACTTGCAAAACAACAATTTTTCTTGGGGCGGATTGATGGAAAATCATCCTACAGAAGAAGCCAAGTGGGAGAATAATGAGAATAATAATGACTACTTTCACAATCCGATTTTAATGTTGGCTTCTGAATCGTTATGCAACGGGATAAAGCCGCAAATGAATTTAGTGCCTGATAATTTCGGAAATATTTTGCCTCATACAAAGCACGAAACTTCTAATATATTTTCTAAGGATATTCAGAAACTCCGAGAAGCTTTCGGAGATATGTGATCCCGATTTGAAGAAAACGGAAATATTCATGATTTTTAGAGGTGTTGTTTTCTTAGTACAGATGTGTGAAGCCACTGATTTTGTTATTGTATATAGGTATGTGAATCTGATACCAAAACAAAAAAAAACTATTTGATTTTCAACTTTTTTTTGCTTTGTTGATATTTGTGAGCCAACATTTTTTTTAACTTTTTTTCTTTTGTGAGTGTGGGGTAGAATGGGTGAATAAGAAATTCTTTGTTGTTTTCTTTCTTTCTATATACTCTTTCATTTATACACTGTAACAGCATTGGTGCTTTTTTTTTATTGGTTCATTTTCCTTACATTGCTATGAACAGAAACAGATTTAGTTATAGTTGTTACTTTACCTATAAAAAACAAGTTGGAGAATCTTTTTTACTTGGTATTTGATTTTATCTTGTCTCTAACTTTCATGCAAATGAAAATGACACTAAAACTTTGTCAATCATTTTCACTTCTATAATAGTTTTGATACTTTCCCATCTATGCAAGTTTTACTTTTCACTTGCACAATGAAATTGTTATGTTGGTCTTGTTGTACTCTTCACAAAATCATGTGTATTATTTATCTTTTCTGGTAAAGAAAAGGACAGCATCAAAGTATCAAAGTAATGATTAATTTGAAGAATAGTGTGTGTACAAGAAAGAAGTGTCATTTTCCTCTGAATAGTCTTATTTGGATACCTCTTGATGTACTTTTAGACTTTGGAACACCTCTAGTACTTTATTTTTTATATATTGGTTAATGATAAATAAAAAATTTAAACAAGTTATAGATTTCAATAAAAACCATGTAGTTTATTTTGCTTTCGCGCGAAGTTAAATTCATCAGGATTGTTTAAAAAGTGGTAACGTGGAAATTTTTAATACCTAAAATAAAATCAATATTGATAACCACTTTTTCAACAATCCCGGTGAATTTGGTTTGATGACTTTATGCGCGAAAACAATGTTATATGATGCATAGACTTAATGCATAGTAGATTTAACTAATTTAACAAAAGAATTCTAAAGACACAATGTGGTCCTAATTTAAAAGTAGAATTGAGAATATTCTAACCAAAAGGATAAAACAAAAATGCAAGAGAATTGAAAACATTATTCATATCCTTCATTTGTAATCCATCATCCATGTTGGAGCTTAAATTTGGGTCTGCTAAACCCAAGTCCATTTCCATTAGTAATTTTGGTCTGGCCTATATATGTTGTTATCATTGTTCATTTATTTATCTCTTTCTCAAATTCTGAATACGTGAGATTCTTGAGTTCCTTGCAAGACAACAACGATTGCTTGTCCTGAAATTTGAATAATTCATTAGCACCAAAGGACCTGACATAAACAAAAGAACGTGACTTTCTTCGTTAGTAAGAAGTCATTTTGATCATGGCAGCGAAGACATCGGAGAATGTATTGCCCTAGACAGGAGTCTCTTGGTCTAAGAGGCAAAAATAGAAAACGCTTAATAATTCTTTAGCTCAATTGATAGAGAACATTGATTGTAGGATCTTTAAGGGTCTATTTGGTTTAATTGATGAGAGGGGATGGTTTTTTATCAAAGAAAAGGGAGGAGATGGGAAAGAAGGAGTTATGTGGCTTGAAATATGAAAAGAAAAGGAGAAGAATTTTAATTACATATACCATGTTTGGATTCATAAGGAGACAAGAACTATTTTAAAATTAATTTAATTTTTGAGTTAAATATATTTTTAATTTCTCTAAAGTTGGGTATTTTTATTTTTTGTTATTGTAAAAAAAATCTTAAAAATCATCTTCATAATATTTGGTATCCACGCTTTTAATCCTTAATGTTAGATATTTTTTCGCAGTTGACAATTTTTATTAGAAGCTTAACTAAATTTAATTGTTTTCATTTTATTTTGGGTCAGCTAACTTTTTATTGGGCCTTAGACTTCTTGTTAGTTTAGTCAAATCTCTTATAAATAAATATTGAATTGGAGAATTTATTAACGCACCTTATAAGTTTCTACTGTACCACGTGAATTTTCACAAATGCTCTCTGTTTTTTGAGATGTATTTTCGGACGCATTAAAATGTAAGTTAATGTTAAAATATTCCAGAGATGCATCTCCGGAACATTTTGGAGCATAACTCGCGTCAAACTCTTCTCCTTCCCTATTTCACAATTTTTTCAAACTCAACTCAACCTCTCTCAAAACACTTCTTTACACCAAGTCAAATTTTATCAAACAAGACTCGGAGGAACTCAAGAAAACATCAATCTTCATCTATAACATCGTCCAACTTCATCAAAAATATCAATTTCAAGTAAAAAAATTTAGTTTTCAATAAATGTTTGAGTTTTTGGTGTAAATGAATACAAATCAATGATTAGAGTTAGAAATGAGTAAAAATCACATCTAAGATAGTTTATACATAGTGTATTAGTTATTTGCATGTGGTACATTACGTCATTGATGCAACTTTTGAGTTGTATAAAATTCTGGAGATACATCTTCGAAATTGTTCAGCGTTTAATTTTCTGCAGGAAATTTCTGAGATGCATCTTTAGAATTTTTCAACGTTTTAATTTCCTGGTGATTCTAGAGAGTATTTTTTTTTTATTCTCTTGCCTGTGTTGTTTGCATACAATAATGGTTGTGAGTGCTAACTACAAATTCAACCAAATTTTGAATGATGTCAAACAAAAAATAAGATAGTTTATTGTAGTGCTCTTGTATATTCGACGGTGTCAACCTAAATTTAGATGCTCATTTGTCCCCTTAGCTTTAGGATGCATAAAAAAAGTCTTTGGACAAGTTTGATGTGTCTTAGGCATGTCATACACATCAAAAATCAAGTTTGTGTGTCAAAACAACAACATAGGCCGACCTATACATGATTGGGCCGACCTATGGAAGCCTCAGCTTTAGTATAGGCCGACATATCCATGTTTCAGGCCGGCTCCTACGCTCCAAGAACGAAGCTTATAGATTCTGCCCATAGGTTGCATTTCAGGTCACCTCACAAGCTGACCTGAACATCTTCATAGGTCGGCCTATGACCTTCATAGGCTGACCTATGTAAGTTAAAACTTGAAATTTTCTTTTTTACATCTTATTTTTCTTGCGTACTTTTGCCCATTTTATTCACATACTTATATATACTCATACATGCATCTTCTTCTAGACAAGGTTCTGTTAGAACACAGATTGATGTTCAATATATCTCATTGTTTTGATGATAACATTAACGAAATTTTGTATAGAGAATTTATATACATTAATTTTTGTTCAAGTGTTTATTTTCTTCAGATATCAAAATTAATATTATTCTGGAAGCAAGAACTCCTCTGAACACCACAGAACTAAAAAGCTCTGAACGTCAGAAGAAACACATCAGAAGACTCTGATCTGCTACAATGACTCTGAGCGAAGCTAAGAAGAACTTGAGCAAAGAACATACGTAAAGCTTCAGAAGACTCTAAAAGTAATCAATGCTGCAAGTACAGAAGTTCTGATAAGCAAGTATGCTCTGATAAGAATTTCACGCTTAAAGCACTTTGCTGCAAACTCTGATAGAGAAACTCTGATTGAGTTAACTCTGATCTGAATAACTTGGAACATCATCAGAAATTCTGATGCAAGGCGTTCCAAAGTTATTGAAGAAGATGCTTCTCAAATAAAGATCCATTGGTATATTCCTTGTCTTATCCTAAACGGCTCTTTCCCCATTCGTGCATGACACAGGATTTCAGACAAAAAGGATTTGTCAGAACATTCCTCTTCTGAGAAAGAAAAAGTCATTAGAAGACAAAAAGATCAGAATGCACAGATTTCACAGTCTTTGAGAAAGGATTTCAAAGTACTATAAAAGCAAGCATTAGCATCACTTCAAAGGTGGACGGAACTATTGACAAAATTATTCAAAGCGCTCAGTCAAATATTCTTCAAGCTAGAATAGTTTTCATTTTCGTTCTAAAACTTGTGTAAAAATCACTGTTGTGATATAGCTTTTTAGAAGCACACATTAAACACATTTGTTAGTTTATCTTTGTAAAAGATTTTCTTAAGAAGACCAAGTTGTGGTCAGAATTTCTTGAGAAGACTAAGACAGTTGTCCTAGTGGTTTACACTGTAATCAAGTTTGGTATAGTGGATTAAGTCCTTGTTGAGAAAGGCAAATCACCTTGGTAGGGTGGACTGGATTAGTTTGAGTTCAAACGAACCAGGATAAAAATACTGTGTTATTTTTCTATCATCTCAATTGTTTTAAAACCCTTATTCAACTCCCCCCCCCTTCTAAGTGTTTTTCTCGCCTTCAGGTTCCCTAGTGAATAAAACCTAAACGAAACCATATTACAAAGGTGTTCATCATCTTCATCCTTTCTTCGACGCATGCACACAATTGAACTAAACATAATCATTTTTTGATTGGGTGACCATCTAGATTAGGTTTGATAACATCCAATTAGGTTTGGTGTAACCGAGAATATTAGGTTAGGGGTTTTATGGGTTTCAAATAAGAAAACCAAAGTTGGGTTTTCCTTCAAGATCAGGTTGATTTGAAGGTTTTTGACAAGATCACGTCAACACAGATTCGACCGAGTGAAAGCCTTGGGACAATGTGGTTTCTTTGCAAGGAAGTAGCGCAAGACGGTGAATTGTGTTCGGGAATCTTGGGTTTCAACAAGGTACGTGCTCGGGATAATCAGAGGATTGTAGCCACATTGTTAGTCACTTGATCAAGCTTTGATCAAGGGTTTGGAGGTGGAAGAATCAACACAAAACAATAGGGTTTTTGTGGTTTGCATTCTGCATCTCTTGTATAAACATTTTGATAAAGAAAAAGTTAATAGCACTATCTCAATTCAATTTTGAATTGAGGACAAACGTACCCATAGCGAGGCCGATTGGGGAACTACCTAAACGGATCTTGGTATCTCTTTCTTCATCTCTTTATCTCTTTTATTGTTGATTATGCAATTTATCGAGTTCGTCGTTGTTTGATCAATTTGATT